ACCGCACGTGAACTGCCGGTAGAGGTGGTGGTGCTTGATGCCATCAAGTCCGTTTCCGCTGCTGGCAGCTCTACAGAGAGAAGGACTGCCCTGTAGAACTTGTAAAGCTGTAACTCTTTATGGAAACAGACTGCCACACCTTTCTTCTGTAGAGCAGCTGGTAGACTCGAACCATTGACCTTTTGATTGGTAGGTGTTTACCTACCATGCCACCCATAGTGAAAAACGTGGTCAAGCGGATCACAACTCATAAGACAGAGTAGAACTGCAACATAGTGTTTCCAAAGCTGCAATCTTCACATAGTAGAGTTCCACATCTTTCTTCCACTAACCAGCTGATAGATTTGAACCACCAACCTTTCAGTTAGCAGTGGAGCACTTAACCGCTGAGGCTTGGTGCAGATAGAACTCACAAATGATGAACTTGGATATCTGGCTGAGAAGCTTTCTAGGAAAGTTCTTCAAGAGACCAAGTGGTTTCTCCTTGCCACATTGTGTTATGCAGGGTTCTGTCGAGAAACAAAACCAGGACACTTATGATTTTAGGTAGATGATAGATAGATAGATAGATAGATAGATAGATAGATAGATAGATAGATAGATAGATAGATAGATAGATGTAGTTTATGTAGCAAGAAGGAATATAATGGCTAATTAGTTCACACAGCAGTACAGAGGGCTCAGTTCAACTCACTTGCATGGAACAGTTAATGTACTGAAGGTCCTTCCACCCAAGTGGCTGCAGATCCAAGGTCAAGGAATCAGACAATGGCCTCTGCCCTCGGGCAAGAAAAGCCGGGGCAAGGCAACAACAGCAGGAAGATGAGAAGCCGAGCCCTCACAGAAGCCAGTAGTGCAGAGCTAGCAAGGGGGTCCCTATGGATCCTCAAGAAGCATGACGTAGCAGGTCTTGGTGGGACCTCAAGTTCTAGTGATGCACGCACAAACACGGCAACAAGCCCCACAGTCGGCTTGGCCTACAAGAGCACTGCGCACCATGGAGACAAAGGACTAGCTTAGGTAGCAAAGTACTGGTCCAATCACCAGGGAGAAGGGGAGGGGGGTGGCCTTGGAAAGCCATTTTTCTCATTGCCCTCCACTCAAGCTCTGACCTGATTAAACTGTACCCACATGTTTCTGCAGAAGCCTAGTTGGCACAATAAATCTATCATACACATATAGCAAAATATGAGTGAAAAGAGATGGACTTAAAAATGAACAATGCAAAATGAAAATAAAATATTTGCAAGACAGAATGTTACAAGTCTGTTTTCAAATTTTCCAAAGTTGTAGTACAGAATAAGTCATGGCTGGGTAATGGATACAGATGGATCCAGGGTTTTTCTTATTCTCTCCCCTGACTCTATTACATGAAAAGTACAGGGCAAGTGTTGAGTAATAAGTACTAGAAGTACTAGGAATGACCCCGGGAAACCAAACCGGACATTCACACTCCAATGAGTACCAAAAGCTTGATGTTTTTGCTCATGTGAAGGTCAACAGGAGGATCAAATGAAGAAACTACGGATTAAACAGACAAGCCTCCCGTGGATACTGGTAAATGGGCCTGTTTACCTTGGATATTGTTATAAGTTTGATTTTCAGATTTGGACGTTTCCATTTTACAAACTGAAGACATGAATTCTTCACCAAGGACTTGATTACACAATTTTACGTTGACTGATGGATCTAACCAACCAAAAATCCATGAATTTGGACTAAAGGGGACAGAGAAAGAAGGAAAGGAGAAGATGCAGTGTAGCTCTTGGAATTCTACAGGCAGGAAACAGGCCACAGGAGCTACATCTATTATCCTCCAAGAAAAGGACCATCCAGAGCAGCTCAGGGATCAGAACTTTTAGAAGGACATGTCTGCCTCAGGTTCAAAGGGTAGGGTCATGGCCACTGGAGTCTTCCTGGTGGAGCCGTCAAAGCCTTGTCAAAAACTCAGTCCCAACTTTCTGGTTTCCGAATGTCTGCAATGGGTCCTGAGAGTTTGCATGTCTACCCAGTTCCCTTATGTTGCCGAAGCTGCTGGTCTGTGGACCACACTTTGAGAATCATTAGGTTCAGCAGACTTTGAGAGAGACCTGGAAAATGTAGACAGCGTCAGAGGTTTTGTAAAATGCCTGCCTTTCTCAAGACAAAACAATACACATGAGAAACAACTTCAAGTGCCCTTCAAAGGACCGGTGGATAAACAAAATGAGGTGCGTACATCCAGTTATTTAGCCATAATCATAAATCAAGTCCTAACACAATCTACAACACAGAAGGACCTTGACAACAGTATGGTACGTGAGTGACCCAGACACGTGATATACCTAGAATTTTTAAAAATCTATGCAGAGAGAAAGTAGATTCGAGGTTACTAGGGATGGAGGAAGGAGGAGAAGATATTGATCAATGGACACAGACTTTCTGTTTGGGTTGATGAAAGTTTTTGCAAGTATATACTGGTGATGGTTGTACAAATTGCTAATAAAATTAACACCACCAAATTGTATACTTTTAAAGGGTTAAAATAGCAAAACTTCTTGTATGAATTTTTCAATAGAGTCTTTAAATACATAAAGAAGCAATGTGCTGCAAAAAAAACTTAATAAAGAAAATTATGTAAATTTGTAAAAACCACCTAAGTAAATTTATACTACCTACTCAAAGATAACCATTAATAATCTTACTGTGCATTCTTATAAAAATCTCTTCTGAATGTGTATACATCTACAGACGTGTATATATGTATATACAAAACAGATAGGCTTATTACATATGAGGGGTACAAAGAAATGGAAAAATGCTCTGCTGGGCAGAGCTTTCGTAGTACAGTATACAATTTTCCCACTAGGGGAGCATCAAGCAATTCTCTCTGAATTACTGCACCCAGTGGCAGCACCTGGGAAGGCTATCTCTCTGGTCACGGTGAATTTTTTCATAAAAGCAGTTTCGCTCAAACCTTGTGTTTTGTGATGGCCGATTTATAACAGTGTGTGGCTGTCAAATGTTGTTTCCTGCTCGGGGGAAAATGCCACAGAACATCTGCGATGCAGAACACAGCTTTCACGGACAGCACAATGGGACACAGGTGTACGAGTAGTTTTCTCGTTTCGAAAATGGTGAAATACCACTTGATGACCAAACCTCGTTCTGGACGTCCATCAGCTCCCCAAAAGGATGAAAATGTTGACTCGTAATGCATTTGGAGCTCATTCCACTAGATCAGACTACTAACCAAGCTTTCTGTTGAGAGCAGCGGTTCTCAACCCCTTTGGGGGTCGAATGACCCTTTCACAGGGGTCACCTGATTCATAAACAGTAGCAAAATTACAGTTATGAAGTAGCAACGAAAATAATGTTATGGTTGGGGGGTCACCACAACATGAGGAACTGTATGAAAGGGTCACGGCATTAGGAAGGTTGAGAGCCACTGGTTTCGAGGTTCTGAAAAGATTGCATAACAGTGTGTGACAAAAAAGGCCTGATTTGTGGCAGGCATGGGGACTGGTTTTGCTACCATGATAACGCACCTGTTCATGCAGCCATCTCAATGTACCAGTTTTGGGCAAAAAACAGCATGCCTCTCTTGCCCCACATACCTTATTCACCTGACCGCCCTCTCTGTGACTTCTTTTTGCTTCCATGAATGAAAGGGACATGAAAGAACAGCGATTTGATAATATAGAAGAGGGGAAGGAAAAATGAGGGAGGTGCTGTCAGCCATTCAAACAGATGAGTTTGAAAAATGTTTCCAAAAATGAATCACAGATTTGACAAATGTATTAAGTGTAATGGAGAATGCTGTGAAGGTGATCAGGTTGTTAATGTTTTTGTTTTTTATGTAAATACATAGCTTTTGTTTTTTATGTAAATACATAGCTTCTGTTCTTTGGGAGGTACCCCCTTGTATGTTTCATATGTATACAACATTGGACTCATTCGTACTACATTGTAATTTACTGACTCGATGATATAAATATCTCTTCAAGTCAATATAATTCTACAGTGTAGTTTCAGTGGTTAGATGGTATTTCTCTGAATAGATGTGCTATAATATATTTGAATGCTCGCCTTTGCAGAGGGGTTTCTATACAAACTCCTATTAAAACGGATTTAGTGTAAATATTCTAAGTGTTTATGTACATCCCTGATTATTTTCTAAGGATAAATTCCCAATAGAAAAATTGCCAAATCTGAAAATATGCAGATTTTTAAAAAGACTATTAGTACTTGTTTCCAAAATTTCTTTCAGTGAAATTGGGGGTCAGTTTATACATCCATCATCATTCTGTAGTTATTTTTCCACCATCACAAAAATGAGCATTTATTTTTTCCTTTGCCATTTTTATAAGAAAAAAATCAGTACTTTGTTTATACTTTGATTTTTTTTTTTAATTACTGCAAAGCTCACTGCCATTGAGTTGATTGGGATCCCAGCGACCCAATAAGGCAGCATAGAATTGCCCGGTGGTAAATCTTTACCAAAACAGAGAGCCTCCTCTTTCTCCCACTTTCAATTTACAGTGAAGTTGGAAAGAACACCGCTCTCAATAGTGAACTTCTTTCTGCTATGGCTGTGTGAGTCTGGAGGCTAGCTCCATCTCCGCTCCTTACAAAGTAATTCTTCTCTTTCAGGGCCAGCTTGCCTTTCTTTTTTCCCCCAAGAGTAAAGTAAAATAGCATTTGTTTTGTCATGTAAACATTTTGAGACGGTACATTTGCTACAAAAAATTCTATATTATGAATATACTTGATATGATATCCAGTTGCACTTCCTGTATGTGAATACTTTGTTTTTATTACACTAAACAGTTTCTGATAATGTTACTCGGAGATTAATCCATTCTAAACAAGTACCCACTGTGAGTAAACACACAAGCTGATGGAATAATGTATCTTACTATCTGCGCTTTAGGATTTGTGGAACTTCTATCTAATCTGTATACTCAAATGACCTTTATTGGTGGTGATACACTAAACTGAACTTTCTTGTTGATACACAGGGACTGTTAGGTGAAAAATACGGGAACATCCGAATCCCTGGAGAAGTGGAAGCCTCGGAATTTGAAATGATACTAGATGCTGCCATCGAGGCAAAGCTGGAGACCAAGTTACTGGAAGAGTGGTACTGTCGCGATGAGAACTCGGTGCCGCCAGCCTATTACCTCAGGCCCAAATCGGATCTGCTGAAGAGCAATAAAAATGCAGTGAGTTGCTGTTCTGTGGAATGTTGCCCTCCAAAGTCTTTATCTGCCCATTGTTTTTCATGGTTTATATCAGCCGAGAGTGATTTTCTCCACACAAAAAGTTACAGGACATAGCAATGTCATTCTTCTTTAGGCCATAACTTCTTTTGGTTTGGGTTTTTTTTGTTTGTTTGTTTTGAAGTAGTTCAGTCAAAAGCTAAGAAACTTTCCAACTTATTTAACTTTACTCTTCTCTTTCTTCCTAAATTATATATTTTGGCAGTTCTTTAATGAAATGTGCAGTGATAAACTTTCTCATTGTTTGTTTATCTGAATATTCTTTGTTTCCATTATCCTACAATGCATCTATTTTTAATACTTCTTGATGCCTGTTGTGTGTCCTGTATCTGTGAATATATAGAACTATATTCATTTAACTCATGAGTTGTGAAAATGATCAGCATCTTCAGATAGAATCGTGTCTCTCCTCTATTATTTCTGTATTTTCCTTCTTGGTCTTTAATTAGATATCCATGAAGCCATCTCAGTGTATCCTCTACGCCTTTCAGCTATCTTCCATATTATTCGGTCCCTGGCCTCTCTGGCCCTCCTTCAAGGAGATGCAGTTCACCAATTTTATCTTCAGCTGTGTCTATTCTGTTCACATGTTGAGTTTTTAAGGTTAATGATTATAGTTTTTATTTCATGGAATTTCATGGAATAATTTTTAAGGGATTTGAGAGGTCTTTAAAATCAACTTATTCTCTCGTTATTTATTTTTAGTTCACTTTTTTTCTTTAAACACCTAAAGCACATTTAATTTCTCTTTTTATAGTTTATTGTAGAATCTTGGGGTAAGGACACTTCATACAAGAGTATGGTAAAAATATTGTTTTTGTCTTCTCTATGACTTGGTTCTCAAGTATATGTACGAGTAAATAAGGGTAGCAGAGGGAAGGGCTAGAATTATTCATTGCATAGAATTTCTAGACAGATTGGAAAGAGTCATAGGTACCCATCTCTCTTCCAAAGTGACCATCTTTGGTATAGTTAGTAGCTCCAAGAGGAGAGACTTAGGTCAGCCGGAGTTCTTTCATTGAGGATCTTGTATATTTGTCATCCTGATTTCTAACATAAAGCATTTTCTCCAGGTAAGAGAAAGTCGTGTCAGAATTCTAGACCTTTCTTCTTCCTGCTCATGTGCATTATCCAGACAAATTACCTATAAGAAATTTGCTTCTTTAGTTAAGAACCTTTTGGTAATCCTTGATCATTCCCAGTCCGTCAGGTGCTAGGAGTAGAGGGAGCAGCAGGTGAGCATAAGCATCAAAGATGGTGGCACCTCAGGAACCAGCCCAAACAGTGTTTTGAGGCTGGTGGTTGGGCTTGATATGGCAGCTTGTAAGATAAGTATTCTAGACCAAACTGTGTGTGCCACCCAGGGGATGTAGCAGGCCTCAGCTAATAAAGGGGCTACTGCTCTTGCGTGCTGTGATCTGTGGTGATTTGAAGAGTAATGTCTTACGGTTCCCTCCCCATAGCTGCAACCTTCTGCCAACACGGAGAATGAGAAGAAATGGCAAGAGATATCAGATGAGATCAAGAAGATATTTAAGGCTGCTGTAAAACTGCTGCATGAAAAGGGGAAAATGAAACACAGCCAAGCTAAGAGGTACCTGTTCTCAGGTAATTTTCACACATCCTCCGTAAACCTAGGTATAGCTAAATAGTAGATGCCGTAGTTATAAGGAGCCCTGGTGGCATAGGCTATTAACTGTAAGCTTAGCAATTGCCCAGCCGGGGCTGGGCTGGAGGTGTGGGGATAAGGTTCTCTGGTCCTGTAAAGATATACAGCGTTGGAAACTCGAAGGAGCAGCTCTACTCTGGCTTCTAGGGTCCTCGTGTGGCAGAATTGACTCACAGCAGCAGGTCTGTAGATGCAGTCATTGTCTTTCTTGTTTTAGATCAGCAAATTTCATCTCACTTGATGCCCGGCAACATTTGATTTTTCTCTAAGTTCCAGCGCCCAGGAGAAGTCCTGTGCCATCCTTCCAATCACTGCTGGGTTTGAGCCCAGTGTTGTAGCCCCTGCGTCACTCAGTCCTGAGAGGGGCTTCCTCTTTTCCACTGCCTCTCTGATTTTTTAAGATTTATTATTAATGGGGAGTTAATATACAGTGAACCCTGGTTTATCGCGGTTAATCGGTTCTAGACCCTACCGTGATAAATGAAATTCCGCGAAGTAGGATTTCTTATTTGTATATCAAATATTTTTGTAGTTAGAGCATAGAGGATATGAAAAAACACCCTTTAGTCACCATTACACTCGTATTACCCAATTTATTAAACGAAAAAGGGAAAATACAGTAAAACATTTTGGACGTTACAATTATCATTTACTATTTATTATATTATTCATGGCATCAAGCATGTACAGTATGAGCCAATCAGTGGCAGTAATGACAGAGCATGCGCTGTTATGCAAAAACCGCGATAGAGTGAAGCCGCAAAAGTCGAAGCGCGAAGTGGCGAGGGTTCACTGTATATGTCATATCATTCCATAGTTCAATGTGACAAGCAAAATTGTGCAATTGTTTCCACAATCAGTTTCCAAACATTCTTTTCCTTCCTGGACTCCTTGACATAGTCTCCCTTTTACCCCCACCCCCCACCCCTGTACCCCATGTCCCCCCCCCAAAAAAGCCTTATTCTTATTGTCCCTATAGGTTCATCAATCCTGGGTTTCATATATCAAAAAACATATAACACTACTTCAAGAGGGTGCTTCCCCCAAGGGCATAACACCTCTGAGATAAACCCTAATATGAACAAACAGAAATACAGAAAATGTTGGAAATTAGATCAGGGCCAGCGTGTATCAGAGGGGAAGCAACTGAAAAAGTTTCAACTGTTCAAATCAGGTTTATCCCTTTGATCTTCTATACTCATTTCTTCAATGCATATGAGGTCCAAGAGGCCTTCAAAGACCATCATAATGGCTTTACATTTTATTCCAGGCAAGAGGGGGACCCCACATGATGGAACGTACTCAAGAAGGAAAGAAAATTACCTCCCTGTCATTGAGTCCATTCCAACTTATAAAGACCATGTAACACACGGTAGAATTGCCCTGTGGTCTAGAAGACTAACTCTGTACAGGAGGAGATGACCTCAGCTCTCTCCTGCTGGTGCTTTTGAACTACTGCCTTGTAGCTAGCAGCCCAAGGTGTAACCCACTATGCCACGAGGGTTCACTCTTCAATAGGACCAAAAAGAACCATCGAGTCAGTGCTGACTCATAGTGACCTCCCGTGGGATTCTGAGGCTGTAACTATTTATGGGAGTAGAAAGCCCGGTCTTTCTCCCAAAGAGCTGCTGGTGGTTTAGAACTGTCAACCATACAAATCGCAGTCCAACACGTAACCACTACACCTCTAGGGCTTCTCAATAGGACAGGCTCCCCAATAGGACAAGGGAAGCTTAATCATGACCCACAGTTGGGTTGCCGTCCACTCCCTCCTATCTGATCTGGTCTGACCTACACAGGCATGAGTAATATGGCAGATGTTGGAAGCAGATCTGATGGTGGCTGATGAGTACATCCAGGTCAGCCACTGTGAAGAGGTCTCCATGGTTCTGCTGGGACAGAGAGAGAGGCAGGAGGGAGAGAGGGAAGTCTGTGTCATGGGTTACCCCTATCAATCCTCATGACTCTAGGGCAGTGGTTCTCAACCTTCCTAATGCTGCGACCCTTTCATACAGTTCCTCATGTGGTGGTGACCCCCCCAACCATAAAATTATTCTCGTTGCTACTTCATCACTGCCATTTTGCTACTGCGATGAATCGGGCGACCCCTGTGAAAGGGTCATTCAACCCCCAAAGGAGTCGCAACCCACATGTTGAGAACCGCTGCTCT